GAGGGAGGGAGGGAGGAGGCAGGTGCAGCCCCTGACGCTGCCCGTCGCCAGATGCTCAGCCCCAGAGGAGTCGGGGAGGATCCTGGCAGCCCAGCCCACGCTCGGCAAGGAGGCCTCGACGCGCTCAGGAGCCAGTCTGGCATCTCTGCAGCGCAGCTGGTGGCCTGTCCTCTGCGCAAAGAGGCCGGCGATACCTGGCTGGGCCAGATCAAGAGCCGCTGAGGTCAGAGAGGTTGGAAGAGGAGAGCCGGGCTGGCCGATGGGCGCAGCCCATCAGGAGGAGTCTGGTAGCCCCTTTTCCGGCTGACCCGTGTGACTGAAAGGCAGAAGCCCCCCGCTTCAAGGTCCTCTGCTCAAGGCCAAGGGTTGGGCTGCAGGGTGCTTGGGACACCCTGGCAGACACCGAGGCAGGGAGGTTTAGGAGCGAAAATCCAGCAGCCGGGAAGAACGTTGGAGGACGCTGAGAGAGACCCCAGCTGGCTAATTTAAGGAAAGGGTGATCCAGTGGCCGCGCTCAGCCCCCCGAACAACCAAGCAGGGTTGGATCTCGTTGGTCCTTGGATGGAAAACCGCTAGGCTGTCCCAGGCGGTGAGCTAGCCTGGAGTGGCCGAACCACCCCAGCGAACTGCCAAGAAAACGTCATCGGTGTGTCCGAGTGGACACCGGGAGATCAGCTGACTTCCAAGGAGTCTTCACCTTGATCTTGGAAAGTGGGACGGGATCTCGGGATGCTGCAGGTGAGAGATTCTGAACCTGGTCCTTTCCTCTTTTCCAAGGGGAGGGGTCCCCGGTGAGCCCCCAGGCCTGCATTCCTGTTCCTCTGAGCATGGTTCTATCGGCAGGGTTAATTTCTAATTAATCGCTTATTTGCATAGTGTTCAAATGCTTGTGCAGTCACACTTACATGATGTTCTAGCTGAGTTTTCTTTAAAAAAAACTAAAAATATTACATTTCTGAGGGCACTGTTTTAGAAGTAAAACTTCCCCGCTGCAGCCTTTACATTTGCGCTCTAATGCTGTCGTTCTACCTTTTAAAAACCAAAATTTTTGCATAATTGTTTCTATAGAAAAAGTGCCTGTTAACGTGAAACCAAGACTTGAGGTTAAAAACAACATCCTCAGAACCATCCTTCCCTCATCCAGAAAACAGCTTGTTAAAAGCTCACAAAGGGGAGGAGAACTTCGATGAAACAGGACGTACGTGTGAATGTGTATATTGGAAAAGCAACCAGCAGTTCTGGCCAACCTCTACGCTAGGGAGGAATCAGGGGAATTGGAACCAGTTCAGAGGGCAGGGAAGATGATGAAGATATTGGAAACGGAGCCTCAGGAGGAGAGATGAAGGACCGGGGGACGTTGAACCTCGAGAAAAGAGGACCAGTGGGGGTCACACCTTCGTGGACCTGAAGGGCCAGCACACCAGAAGCTCGGCTGCTTTTCCAGAGTTAATGCTAGTGGGGTGCAAAATTAAAGGAAGGCAGGTTCCAGATGAGCGTGAGGGCAAATTTCCTAACAATAAGAGTAGTTTGATGGCAGAATCAAACTGGCCAATGTGGAGCCCGAGCAGCCAACTAGCAGGGAGGAATTAATTGGGCTGAACCCGGGGCCTTCAAAAGCCTCTTCCCACTCTTGGATCTGTTGACTCCAGCACTCGTTCCCTGCTTGCACCGGCACTTAATTTCAGCAGTCTCTGCAAGATGCCAATTTTGACACCCCCCCTACTCGACTGCTTAATTAACATTTATTATTTGTTTGCTTGCTTGTCTATTAGACTCACTCCACTGCAACTCTGGAGGGTGTACGATATAAAGCAATACAAAGTAATGAACTTCAAGATGCAAAAAAAACCCAAAACCTGGCAACATAGTTTTTCTGTCACGTTAGTGACATTGCCTTTGTTTCAATGGTCTTTAGCTCTATTCCCATGGAAGTCCACTTTTCCTCCCTCTATTGCAGGGCTTCTCAACCTTGGCAACTTTAAGACGAGTGGACTTCAACTCCCAGAATTCTGGGA